GACAGAATGGAGCCGAGTCGGCCCTGGAAACCAGGGACATGAAGGACCCGCTGTGAGGAGGCGGGTGGTGGGGTAGCACATGCCCAAGGTGAGCACAGTGGTTCACGTCCCCCTCCATCCAGAGCACACGACCCCTCGGCCCCGACAGGGACCCGGTCAGAGGACCACAGGTCCCCACAGCCCCGTGAGCTCCACGTCCGTGGCTGCTGCTCAGATGTCCCCAAGAAGGGGCGTGGCTCTGGCCTTCACGGCAGCCCTGGGCCGGGCAGGAGGGCACAGGGCTTGGGTATTGCTCCACTTGACCCAGTCACACCAGGAAGCACGCACGGAGTGCCTCCCCGAGCCCACGGCCCTGCCAGGGGGGATGCTGTGTGCGTCTCCCTGCAGGCACATGCCATGTGTGCACATGCGTGTAAGAGCCGAGCAAACATGATGTCCTACCTCAGTTCCCGCCCCAACTAGCCCTCCACAGATGCCCTACATGTGATTTGTAAGCAAGTTATACAAGACATTCAAAAAAACAAATGGCAAAAAGTATCATGAGCGTCACTGAAGTGCATTCTTGCTCATTTCCCTTCATGATCCACAGTCCACACATAGTTGTGGAAATAGCACCCCCATTTCAAGCTCCTGGGGACCAAGCCCCACAGAGCAGGTCTCAACGTGCTCTCTCCAGTGACATGTGCTGAGAGCCATGGCCTACCGGTCTACCAGGTCAGCCAGATGCTGCCCAGAGGGCCACAGCCTACTGGTCTACCAGATCAGCCAGATGCTGCTCCCAACAGATTCCCTACCCACCCACTCCCATCCTGCCAAAGGTTGGGTGGAGAGTCAAAGCTTGGATGGCTGTATTGATGGATGGATGGATGGATGGATGGATTGATTAAGGGAGGCATTTCTGGGTGACAAATATTCAAAGACCGTGTCTTTCTTGAGTCTCCCTTATGCCACCCTCAGCTTCACCTCCCTGGAGAACCAATTGTGACGGCAAGCCTCCCCGCTCAGCAATAGCCCTACATTCATAGTCAAACCTGTGGTGTCCAGAACATAACCTCAGAAAGTATCGGAGTCTGGCCCAGGGCCTTTCACCGGCCACACTGAGATTCTGTCAGTCAAGAGAACTCTGCCAGGAAATCCGTATCTCGGACGAGCCACCCTAGCCCCTGCCTCCCAGTGTGCACACTGGCTGAGGAGAGCCAGACCTGCAGGCGGGACTTCCTCCATGACCCAGTCACCCAGCCAGGCACGCCCTCCCGTCATGCTCTGCGGTCAGCGCTCTGTCGGCAGCTGCTATTACGCCGGCGTGTTATTATACAGCCGCTCTTTGTTGTTTTGAGTAAAGAAGGAAAGAACCTTTCTTACTAAATATCGCACGGCTACCCTATCATTTGATGCCAAACTAACACTTCGAGAAAACAAAACTGAAAAGCAGCTCCATCGGCAATGAATGGCCGTCCAGACTTCCAGGGAGCGTTCCTCACCAGGTCTACACCTTCCTGGCTCTTTACATCCGGGAATTCATCCGCACACGTTTATAGGGTGAGACAACCAATCAATGAGGTGACAATGCTCCCTCCGACCGGCGACATCAACCCCCAGGAGCTAAAACTAGAAGCAGATTCTATTATGACGTGTTACTGGGTCCACCTGCCATTACTTGCTGGTATATTTGGAACCGATACATTTATTTTTAAGAGACCCACCAAAGGACTTGTATGCATGCATGTAAGCACAACCAATGGACGCAGGACAGAGGGAGGGGGTGAGGGCATGTGGGGGGGGGGGGGGAGGCAGGGGAAGGTCCACTGAGAAAAAGAGGAGACAATGTACTACTGTTGATAACACTTTAAGCAATAAAACAAAAAAAGGAAACTATGTAAAAGTTAAACGTTCACAAATGGGATGCAGGCAGAGTCATCTTAAACTGCGTTTGCCCAGGACCATGTGAAGGCAGGCGAAGTCCGGAGACACTGTGGTGCTCACCCTCAGAGCCGCTCTGTGAATTCACACGTCAGCCATAGTTCACATGTCAGCCGTGGCACAGAGCCCCCTCCACACACACACACACACACACACGCACACGCACACGCACACGCACACACCACCCTGCCTGCACCTGCCTACGACACCAGGAGGGCGGAGGTCAGCTCCGGACCGGAGGGTCCACAGAAAAGGGAGCCGGAGGGACCGGAAAGGCGGGACGGGCGGAGCGGCCGTGGGGTCTCGCATCGGCGTCACACACTGAAAGGCGCACCCGCTCAGGGCCTCGCCAGTGCCGCGCTGGCCCTTTGTGTCTGTCGCCCCGAGAGAGGGTGATGGGCGGATAAGGAGAAAGTGAGAAGCCGCGGCCGCTCCGGAGACCATCTTAAGTGGCCTCAGAAGTTGGATCGGATCGGCGGCCGCGGCCTGAAAATCGATCTCACTGTTTGGAATCTGTTTGTTTCCTTGAAGGGGAAATAGAAAAGAATGCCTGATGGAGTGGCCCTGGGCCAGGCATCAAAGGGAAAGCCGTCATGATCCGACCCTGCCTCTGCCAGCCCTGGCCGCTCGGAGGGAGCTGGGACCCGCTTCTCTGCTTCTCCCCACACGCTGAGCTCCGGGGGGGGGGAGGGGATAGGCACCCAGGGGGCTGCCCTGAAAAAGAAAGAGAGTGCAGCAGCAGGGATGAACTAGGAAGGGGCTGTTCTTTTGTTTTTAATTTTCTTAAATATATATATTTTTTAATTTCAGAGAGTAAAGAAGGAGAAAGAGAAAGAGACACATCAATGGTGAGAATCATTAATCGGCTGCCTCCTGCACGGCCCACATTGGGGATGGAGCCCACAACCTGGGCCTGTGCCCTGACCAGGAATCGAACTGTGACCTCCTGGTTCACAGATCAACACTCAACCCCCGAGTGGCACCTGCAGGGCGGAGGGAAGCTGTTTCTGCACAAACGCAGTGAGCGTGTGTGAGCGCCAGCGATGGAGCAGCGACACCCCCGCTAGTACCAAGCTCATTTCAACCAGGAGCCCTGCTGAGCGTCTCACTGAATCCCCGAGTCCCCACAACCACCACCTCCCTGGGCAGGTGCGATCCGCGTCCCCACTTCGCCCATCAGCACCAAAGCCACAGAGAGGCTCAGACACCTGCCTGCAGTCACACAGCGAGAGCGGAGCCGAGCCGGGACGTGATCCCGGGCGCCGCCGGCTCTGAGGCCCGTGCTCTCTGGTCGGTGGTCTCCTCCCTCGTGCAGGCAGCACCCATTCACACCTCCGCTGCTCCCCGGGGCCGCGCTCCACGCCGAGGTGCAGGGCGAGCCTCACACCGTCCACGGAGGAGACTGGACACTCAGAGGGCCGTGTCCCGTGTGCGTGGGGCTTCCCCAGAGCGACGCCCAGCCCGGAGTGGAGCTGGGACTGACTTCCTGCTGTGGATCTTGCACACACAGATACGCAGGGGCACGGAGCAGGGAGGTCAGATGTAAAGGGGGAAAACGTGTCCTCGCGAAGGAAGTTGGCAGGGCGGGACCTCCGTTGACAAAGGGCAGGGACCCCAGGGCTGCCTCAGGGGCATCCTGAAGGGCCGTGGCCTGGCTAGGGAGTGGATCCCTGTGAAACCCTGCGACAAACAGCTGAAGCACTTGGCACTGAGAAGCAAAACGATCCCATCTTTTCTGCCTGGGCACTGCCTCTCCCCCAGCGTCTGGCTGGAGGGCCAGGATGGAGGAGGGGGACTAGCCGGGAAGCGGTTACTGTTTCAAACTGTATCCGAGGTTGGAAGCTGTAGCAGGGGGAGCCGCCCAGAGCAGCCCGGGGTTCTTAACCCAGAGAGCAGGTGTGGGTGGCACCTGACCCGGCTCCCGGTCCCGGACCCCCTGCAGGCCTGACCGGGACCCCCTGCAGGCCCGTCCCCGTCCCTGGACCCCCTGCAGGCCCGTCCCCGGACCCCCCTGCAGGCCCGTCCCCGGACCCCCCTGCAGGCCCGTCCCCGGACCCCCAGGCCTTCCTGGGGGCTGTGCCCTCAGGTTCCTCCCAGCACAGACCCCTCCGATTCAGACTCAGAGCAGCACCTGCTCCGCTCGCTCACCGGGAGAGAGGAAGGTCCGCCTCCTCCTGGCCTCCCGCTGGGAAATTCTCACCTAATCACCTTGGGAACCCTTCTCCTGCTCATTGGAATTTGCTGCCTCTCCGCGGGGAGGCTTGGGCCACGGCTGCCTCTAAGCCGGGCATTTGGGGAGGATTAGGACTCTAGTGCAATGCGCATTCCTGCCCCAAAGGGCGTTTGCACAAGCCCCTCCTGTGAGCCGCCGGGCTCCCAACGCCTGGAACCGCCTGTGAGCTCAGCCCCGCAGCCCCTTCTCCTCGGGCGGCTCAGCCAGGCCCGCTCTCCTCCCAGTGAATGAGGGTGAGGCGGGTAGCCAGGCAGGCGCTCAGGGAGTCACCCCAGCCCCTTTCCTTCCCAGACCAGAGTTCCCATGCTCAGTAAGGATGATCGTTTAGATAAAAGCCCAGGTTCCTCCCAGAAGCACCTATGGCTTCCACCGAGCAGGACCCCTTGCCGGGTTGTGACCCGCCGGCTGGCTGCTCCCGCCGCCTCCCCTCACCCCCTCACCCCCACCTTCCCACCCCCTCCCCTCACCCCCTCACCCCCTACCCCGCACCCCCCCACCTCACCTCACCCCCTCACCCCCCCCCCACCTCACCCCCTCATCCCCCGGGTTGCATTTTCCTTAAGTTTCGGAGCTTCCTTTGCAGAACCCGCTCTGAATACCAACAGGGCTTGGCGCATTTAAAAAAAAAAAAAAAGAAGAAAAACGAAGTAAGTTCTTCCATCACCTCCTGGCTGGGGGGCCCCCCAGGAAAGGTTCCAGGACAAAGGGGGAGGAGGGCTGGCCGCACCCTGACTCCCACATCTCCACCCCTTCAGCTCGCAAACCAGCCACACTGGCTCGCTCCTCCCTCCGGGCCAGGGTGGCCGCCCGCCCCCGCGGGGGGAAGGCCCGGGAGCAGCGGACTCACCTTCACGAAGAGCGTGATGTCGTGCTCGCGGCCCCGAGCGCCCTCCGCGGACACCTCGCCGTCCTCCCCGCTGCCGTTCGCGGCCGCCGCCTCCTCCGCCGCCGCCGGCAGGTGGTTGCTGAGCCCCGCGGCCCGGTGCTGCGCGGCCTCCCCGTCCCCGGCCCCGTCCTCGCTGCCCCCGGCCGCCGCCTCCCCGCCCGCCCCGTCTGGGCCCCGCACTGGACTGTCCCCCTCCTCCTCCTTTTCCTCCTCCTTCTCCTCCTCCTCCTTCATCTCCTCCTCCTCCTCCTCCTCCTCCTCCTCCTCCTCCTCCTCCTCCTCCTCCATCTCTTCCTCCTCCTTCATCTCCTCCTCCTTCTCCTCTGCCTCCTCCCCCGCCTCTGGGGGCCCCTCCTGGTCCCCCTCCTGGCCGTTCTCGGGGGCCGCTTCCTCGGCGGTCCCCCGGGCCCCACCCTCCTCCGCAGCCCCCGCCTCTGCACCCCCCGCACCTGCACCCCGAAGCTCCTCCGCGGGCCCCCCGCTGCAGCCGCCCCCGCTCCCCGCCGCCCCGGCCTCCGCCGGCTCCCCCCGCGGCGGGAGGCTGCGGTCCGCCCCAGCCCCGGGCTCGCTCCCCGCCCCGGGCGCCCCTCCCGCCGGCCCCGCCGCCTCCTCCTCCCCGGGGCCCGCGGGGTCTGGGGGCGCCCCCGGAGCCTCCTCCGCCCCCGCCTCGCCCTGCGCACAGCGCCCCGGGCTCGCCCCCTGCCCGCGCCCCGGGGCCTCGGCCTCGCCCTGCGCCCCGCTGGCTGCGGGCATCTCAGCCTCCTTCCCCGCCTCGCCCCGCGCACAGCGCCCCGGGCTCGCCCCCTCCGCCCGCTCCGGCCCGCCCGCCTTCTCCCCGCCGTCCCCGCCGCCCTCGGGGGCCTCGGCCTCGCCCTGCGCTCCGCTCCCTCCCGGGGTCTCAGCCCCCGCGTCCCCCGCGCACCCTCCGCCCGGCCCCGCGCCTTCGCCCGCCCTCAGCCCGGCCGTCGCGTCGGCGTCCTCCCCGGCCGCCCCCGGAGCCTCTGCGCTCTCAGCCGGAGGTGCCCCCTCCCGCGGCCCCAGGGCCCCCGGGCCGCCCGCTGGCTCTGCGGCCTGGGCCATGGCGCGGGCTGTCCTGGGCCGGAGACCCGCCTGAGGCTGCGGGCCGGTGGCGCTGGGCACAGTCCGCTCCGGGCGGAGCCCCTCGGTGGGCTGGGCGCCGGGAGAGCCCGCTGGCCCTGGACCCTGGCCCTCCCGCGGGGCGGCTCCTCCAGGCCCGGCCTCCCGCCTGCGCCCCGGTCCCGCCTGCGCCCCGCTTCCTGCCGGCCCCGCCCTGAGCCGCCGCACCTGTGCGCAGGGCCCCGTCGGTCTGACCACAAGTCCGCGGGCAGCGCCGTCCAGGGGCGGGGGCGGGGCTTCTCCCCACGCCCCCCTGCCCGCCCCTACCCCCTCTTCCCACACCCTCCCCCTCCTGGTCCCAGGCCCTCCTCCCCGCCCTGCGATTTCAGTGCCAAGAGCCGGTTCTCCGCCCCTCTGTTTCCTGGAGCCGTTTTCTGTCCCAGCGCACCCCCTCTCCCCCAAAGCCCGCAGCCCCCCTGGGCCCCAGAGCCCCGCGCTAAGCCCCCTGGAACCCAGCTCGGGCTTCCGTCCAGGGCGGCGGTGTCCTGGGAGGAAAGGGGAGCGGCGTCTGCAGACCCGGGAGCTCCCAGAGGCCCCCCGCACAGAGGGTGTCCCAGAGCCCCCCCCCCGCACAGAGGGGGGTCCCAGAGCCCCCCCCCCGCACAGAGGGTGTCCCAGAGGCCCCCCGCACAGAGGGGGCTCCCAGAGGCTCCCCTCACAGAGGGGGCTCCCCCCCCGCACAGAGGGGGTCCCAGAGGGTGGAAAGGGGCAGCGGGCTAACCTGACAAGCTCAGGTGAGGCCCCGAGGCGGCCTAGGAATCTCAGGCCCAAAGCAGCCACAAGGCTGGTCTGAAAGGAGCACTTTTCAGTCCCCGTAAAAGACGTCTCTCCGGTCACTTTTTATCGGACCCGAGGCTCCCCTTTGCTTCCTCCTCCTCCCTCCTCCCTCCTCCTTCACCAAGGACTTCCTGCGGCGCTCAGCACCTCCAGGCGGCGGTCATTGTTAAAAACAGGAGAAACCCCATTCCCGGGAGCGTGGCCTCAGTCCTGAGATGCTGCTTCCTGGCGATGTCAGTTTGGCCCAAATAAACTCAAAACACTCCCTACAGGTGTGACCCTTCCTCACAGTGAAGCCAGAGGAGCCCACGGAGCTGCTCTGAGGGGTCCCTGTGCGTGGGGGCGGGCAGGGGGCTGCCCTGGGGGCGGGGCTGCCCTGGGGGCGGGCAGGGGGCTGCCCTGGGGGCGGGGCTGCCCCCTCTATGGGCCCTGAGCACTAAGAGTCTGGATCATGGGGGTCCCGAGACCTGAGCCCCGCCCAGTGCGCTGCCTCCTGCTCCTGCCTCCGAGCTGTGTGCTGGGAGTTTGGGGAGATGGGGGGGGGGGGGGGCGGGATACAGGATTTGAGGGGGGCTGTGAAATCACCGGGTTCGGAATCTCCCGGGACCTCAGACCAGACCCCGTGTCCCGAACTATGGACGTGAGGCTGGAAGTCCCGTGGAGAGCTGAGGAGCCAGGCCGGACTCGGGTTCCTGCGGGAACGAGTGGGTGGCCCAGGTGCCCGTCTGAAGGTGGCGGGAGGGGCCCCTGAGGACTGAGGTGAGGAGCAGGCTCCTGCCGGCCATGGTGCTGCCCTGAGACCCCGCAGCCCGCCTGTGCACTCCCGTCCTCAAGGGCTCTGTTACCGCACGATCAGGGCGTGGTGAGAGGTGAGCGCATCTGGCTGCCCACGGGAGCCTGCTTCTCCTCCCCATCCCTCAAGGCAGCCGGAGCCCTCTGCCGCCCAGACCCCGGCCGCCGGCCCCAGGCTGGGCCCTGTGTGGGCGGGAAGCCCCAGGGGCCTCATCAATGTCAAGCACCATCTGCTCACAGCCAAGGCCTCCCCCTCCCCCCCTCACCTGTGACTGCAGGACCTGTCAGCTGCCATCCTGCTCGCCCAAGCCCCCTCACCCGAGGCCCCGCAGGTCTCCCCGCACCTGCAGGCGTCCCCTCACCTGGAGGTGTTCTCTCTCCTGGAGGCGTCCGGCCGCATCATGGGGCAAGGAAACCGCCTCCAGCCTATTTCGTGAGGAAGAAGCCAGGGCCCCGGGCCCCCAGCACCAGCACAGGACACAGGCACAGCCCTGGGAAGAGGACTGAGTGCGACTAGTGTCTGCTCTGTAGCCAGCACCCCACCTGACACACCTTACTATCCCACAGGGACACAGGCTTCCCCAGGGACAGTCTAAACCCTGCCTCCTTCAGGGTCCCCAGGTCAACTTCACCACCAAACGATCTCTGGTTGTCTGAGCCCGTGGAGAGGCCGCCAAAGTCAGATAAAGCCACGGTGTGGCTCGGTGGATAGAGCATCAGCCTGCGGACAGAAAGGTCCCAGGTTCGATTCCGGTCAAGGGCACATGCCCGGGGTTGCAGGCTGGATCGCCAGTAGTGTGTTGGCCTGTGGTTAAACAAAATGTATTTGTTCAGCCCTGGCTGGGGAGCTCTGTTGATGAGAGCACTGACCTGATATACGCCAAGGTTGCAGGTTTGATCCCCAGTCAGGGCACAAAGAAGAACCAACCAATGAATGTATCCATAAAGCGGAACAACAAATATCTCTCTCTCTCTCTCTCTCTCTCTCTCTCTCTCTCTCTCTCTGAAACCTATCACTTTAAAGAAATGGATGCACTATTTTTAAATGATTGTAGGATCAAAGCTGAAAACAGGGAGAGCAGAAAATAAGAGCTCTTTACAATGTCCACAGATCGACAGGGACACACGATGGAATATACGCAGTTTGTGAATATATATCACATGTCCTTTATCGTCCTCCAAGGGACCCTGAGGTTGTTTCCACGTCCGGACTAGCAATGCTGCAATGCACATGGATACACACGTATGCACAAACATGACTCCTACCCTCTGCCACCCTTTCCTGCCTGGCATTCCCCGCAGCAGTTGTCTCCGTATGACATGGACTACACGAGTGGCCGGCAAGCCGAGGCTCTCGAGCCACATGCGGCTCTTTGGCCCCTTGAGTGTGGCTCTTCCACAAAACACCACGGCCTGGGCGAGTCTGTGTTGAAGAAGTGGCGTTAGAAGAAGTTTCAGTTTAAAACATGTGGCTCTCCACAGAAATGTCAATCGTTGTGCTGTTGGTATTTGGCCCTGCGGACGGATGAGTTTGCCGACCACTGGGCTATACGGTGCCCACTCGTGGCCTGTCTCCCTCATCCACCCCTAGAACACGGTTCTGAGGAGCCTGGGGGGTGGGGGGTCATGCCCAGAACAGGTGGGAGCTCATAAACATGCACTGAATGAATGAATGAATGAATGAGTGAATGAATGCATGCAGGCTTCCTTATGTGGCTCCCCCTGAACCCCTGAACCCCTTTTCAAAGTGCTTGTCTCCGCCGGCTTTACGCACGATGGAACAGCTAATGTCACAGACACGCTGTTCGGGAAGTTTCTATCTGACTTTGGCGGCCACTTGGGCAAACACTTTTAATCATTAGCAAAGGCCAGGCGGCTCCGCGGGAGGGGCACGCAGGCAGTGACCAGCGCCCGGAGCTGAAGGTCACCGCGGAGTCCGGAGGGACTGGCACTCGGGGAGCCGGCGGCCGGCGCCAGATTAGCCATTTCCAGGCCACGGAGGGTAACACGGAGGTGACGGACCGCGGAGGTGACAGACCGCGGAGGGGAGGCAGGAGGCAGCGGGCCGGGGACGGGGGCCCTGACACCACAGAGTCCTCCTGCCGGCTGCCACGGAGGGGCGTGGGGCGGGCCCCGGGGTCCGGAGAGATCCTGAGGGCCTCACACCATTTCCAGTCGGTGGGTGGGTCATTACGAATGGCCTCTCCCCACGGCGCCCTGGGGATTAAGAGACTGATGTTCAGATCAGGGTGATGCCCCTTCCCCCCTCCCCCTCCATCCCGCTTCCTCCTCCCGGGGTCTCCCTCCTCACGGGGCTCACCAGGACAGCGGTCCCCGGTGCCAGTCGTGGGAAGGTGTCGCTTCCTTCGAAGGTAAGGTGACCGGACATCCCGCTTTTGGCAGGACAGTCCCGATGTTTAACAATTTGTCCCGCGTCCCTCTGCCTTTTTTAAAAAGTCCCAAAGGGACTTTTTTAATACGCCGAGGGATGCGGAACAAATTGTTAAACATTGGGATGTCTGGTCACCTTTTTCAAAGGGGCTCTCGCTGCAGAAATGGCCCGAGCCAGGAGGCAGGGACCGGGCACAGGGTCAGCCCCACACCCGTCCCCAAGGACAGGACAGAGCCCAGGTGAAGGCGCCAGGGTAAGGGGGGGGCCGGCCGGCGTGGCTCCGTGGCTGAGCGTCGACCTAGGAACCAGGAGGTCACTGGTTCAATTCCCGGTCAGGGCACAGGCCAGGGTTGCGAGCTGGGTCCCCAGTGGAGGATGTGCAGGAGGCAGCGGATCCATGATTCTCTCATCATCAGTGTTTCTCTCTCTCCCTCTGCCTCCCTCTCTGACGTCAGTAAAACGATTTTTAGTGTAAACTGGACGTCCCTCCGAGGTTTTGCCCTGCCTCTCGCCCCCCTCCTCGGTCTGTCCCCCCAGGTCTTTCCGAGGCGCCCAGGCTGCCTGGCCCCACGTCCGGGTCCCCCAGACCCCAGCCCCGCCTCACTGTCTGCTCACTGCCCCACGCTCAGCTAACCCGGGCCCTGCCCAAGCCTTGCCCCCCTTACTGCGCTCATTCTGCTCTGGCAGGTCCCTGCCCAGTCACCTCCGGAGGCCACCCCCCATCCCAGACTGCCTGTGCACAGTGTCTCCTCCATCCTCCCCCCTACACACACATACACACACACACACACACACACACACACACACACACTCTGCTGGCTGTGTCTGTGGCTCCAGGCGAGGGAGCCTCCTGGTCTCTGGCTCATCAGCACCTGGAACAGCGCCGCCTGGAGGCACTCATTGCCTTAGCAGCAGGCGTGCTGACTTGGGCACAGACTTGGCGCTGTCTGAGCTGCCGGGCGGTCAGGACCGTCTGCACGGC